TTGGCTGTAAAACCAACTTTGTGACCAAAACCAACCACAATAGAATACCAATCCCTCCCTCTGATCTTCTAGGTCTTATTTTCTTAATTGGGTGGGCGGGAGAGCAAATTTCCACATGGAACAAGTAGGTGGGCCCAGGCTGCATAAATCTCATACACACAATCCTTGGCAGAGAGTCACACTGCCATTATGCCTTCTAAATGTCAGCCGAGGTAGAAACTGACTCCAGATCTGAGAGGCGCCAGACACCTGCTCCTAGGGCTCCGGGAAGTGCTTCTGCTGGTGGGTGGCCCCCACACCACCCTTTCTCAGCACATGCAGATCCTCTGAACCCAGGAGCAGCTTTGAGCTCTGTGTGTGTTTAGATTTCCCTCTGCGCTGCACGCCCACCTTTCTCTGACACAACATTTTCCGGTGGAGCAGGTCTGTGCCTTCATTTGGCATCCAAGTCCTCATAATCCCAGGGTTGCTCTCCATGCCACGCTAACCCTTCTGTCAGAAGCTAGGACCTTCCAAATTGCTTAATGCCTCAATTAGCAGCAACTTTGCAGACCACTCTTCTTACAAGAAAAAGTTTTTAACCAAGAAGTTTAACTATGCTGGTGGAGTTGCCTCCAAAGATGAAGCAGTAGGACTGATTTAATTGACAAGTGATCCTATTAGATTGTTTTCATTTCTTTCCACGCACACATAATTTTTACAAATGGTATTGTTTACTTTTTCTAAAAATGGCTTTAAGTACAGCTATCTCTAAAGCTCACTGACTCAGCAACTTAAATACAGGTACCAGTGTAGCACTCAGAGCTTTGCTGGTGCAGTGTAGATTCTTCATAACTGCTTAAGCCCCCAACTTTGTTAACTTAGGACCCAGACAATACTAGTTGGCATTTATTGAGCATTTACAATGTGCCAGAAAACTAATAAGAGCTTATGATTATTTCCCTCATACTCCAAACAGTCCTTTTCTATTTACAAAATAACAGTACGTGATGTTATTTTGTAAATAGAAAAACTAGGAAATGAAGGCACAGAAAGTTTATCTTGTTAGGTGTCACACAGTGTAATCAAAGCAACATTCATATTGTACTAATAAGCAGTGATTATACATAGTAATCATAGCAACACACATGTAACATTTTTGTTGGGTGGGGCAAAAAATTTTTAGAACTTAACATGTATAAACATTTTAACCCATTCATTCCCACAATAATGTTGGAGGTAAATTCTATTATTATTCCATTTTACATATGAGAAAATAACCACACCGAGAAGTTAAGTCACATGCTCAAGGTCACAGAGCTAGTGAGTGAGTGGGCTGAGATTCAACCTATATTCTAATTTCAAATTCTGTGCTCTTAAGCAAAGTTTAAATCGCTTCTCATATATTCCTTGATAGAGTCGTTTTAGTCTTGGTTTTCCTTCGCACAAGCTCTGCATTGTTGGTTGTAAGGATGAGATGACATAACCTGAGTGAAGAGTTTAGCACAGCACCTGACATGCAGTAAAATACCAGCATAAATATTACTTACTAGTCTTTCTAATAGTAATATCATTGGGACTGCTTGCCTATTTTTCCAAATGAAAATAATATGTTTTATTTCCTTAAAGCAGCTAAACAAGAGTAGCCAGCTACAGATAATTAAAATCTTTTTTGAAGGCAGGGAACAGAGATAAACTTTCTCTATTATCTGATACTCTTCCAATGACCATGAAGCATTGCAAACTTTCTTTCTTTTGGGATGCTCATTCATGGTTAACTTCAGAACTGGACAGTCAAGTGAAAAAGACTATGAGCTTTCCATTAGAAAAAAAAATGCAATAACCTCCTCATTTCTAAAACACTGGTGATAATCCACGTTGCCTAAGTTCAGAGAGGCTCATATGAGATAGTAAACGTGAAGACTCTTGGAAAATATATCCCCTAATCGTAGCACTGTCATTGATATCACATAACAGCTAAGAGAAATACCAAATTCATTCAAGCCACCAATACCTTAGGCCTGGCTAGCTACATGGGCTCCCTGGGCAGAGGCTGCCAAGAGAAGGAGATACAGGGTGCTTTTTGGAGATCCAAAGGGAAAATCCATGGAAAAACAATAGTAGGAAGAGAGGCTACTGTGTAGGGAGCAGGTACCAAGAGCATGAAGTTCCTTAATGTCATGCACAGCTGTAGATGGCCCTGCCCTTAGATGACCCTGCTCTGCAGGTTGGCCTTCCCCCTTGGAGGGGGGAGCATAAAACCACATGGTGGTGGTTGCTATAGTGAGCCAGTGACACATCTGCAGGAGGGCTGGGGCCAGCAGGCGACACATTCCACCCAACATTCTCCCACCACTGGAGCCACCTCTAAGCAAACTGTGGAATGTTTGGCTTTCAGGAAAGGATTAGTGTGTTTAAAGGCCTAGCAGAACCCACTGCCAAGACTCATGAAAGGGCCTAGAAAACAGAGGAGTGGGCTAAAAGAGAAGCCACCCAGGGCAGCCTCAGCAACATGCTATTTTCCTATAGCTTTTCTCAAGGTATCTCAACAATTTGGACAAGGGGACATGGGAAGCTGAGGCTTAGCCCAGTGGCCAAAGATGAAGAGATGTGAATGCCTGTGTGACTGCATTGTTAGCCAGTCAATTAGGAGGGAAGAAGGATCTAGAGAATGGGGTAATTCAAAGTCTTTCCAATAGCATTGCCAACCAAAACAGCACCCCAGAGCAAACCCTAGCTTGTGCTTACAGCCAAGTCTGGTCTATTCCTTCCATCAGCCAAACCGATGGGTGTTAGAAGACTTGCAAATAAGCTCATTTGTAAAAATGGAAAATTGTGATTTAGTATCCTTGGAACTAGCCAGATAAGCAAATGAGAATGCTCTCTGATGATAAATTATGCTAATTTGGGTTTTGTTGGTCAAGTGAGATGTTACCCTGTATTTTACAACCAATTCTGACAATAGGAGTCACTGAAGTTTCAATCTTGTAATTTTTTTTTTTTGGGGGGGAAGGGTGTTCCTGTCAGAACTCCAAACATCTCAACAAAACAGTTGCCTCAAATTTCCTTTTAATAAACAAATTTACTTTGGCATGTTATGCTGTGTGCCTTGTGGATTTTTGGAAATCAGTTCTAGTTTATTCAGATAAATTGCTTTGTAAGAGCTCATGAATATTAGCACATACATGATACACAAAATATAATAGAACACTGTTTATCACAAGTCATTTTTAAATGTTAATATTTTCTATTTTTAGGAGGAAATATATGTACATTGTAGAAGATACAAAATATCATTAAAGTAGCAAAATTAGTATTCATTTGGTAGTAAGTAATGAAAACCCAACTCAAATCAGCTTAACCCGCTCCTATCATCAGGAAATCCAGCTGGAGTGGACTGAGCTTCAGGCATGGATTGTTCCAGGAATTCAAGCAACAAATGTCTCTTGAGTCAAATGTTATGGGAAGGGCAGACAAAAACTGTCTACATATTCACTGCAAAAATAAAATAGTCCATATTCCCATCACTCAAAACAATTGTGCTTGATAGTTCAGTCTGTTTTCTTGCAGTCTTTTTCATGTAGATTTTCTTACCTTGTTTGCATGTAAATTTTAAGCCTAGAGAGATAAGGTATTGCATCTAAAAGGTGAAAAAAAGACATGAATGATTTTCATAATAAGGAACTACTGTGCTGACCTAGGGCTCCCAGTTCTTGCAGTAAGTGCCCTGGAGGCATGTTCTGCATTACTGCCTTAGACCATCTGCATTTGCTAGTCTAGTAACAGTAGCACCTACGAGAACTTTTATACCTGTGCTTACAATATGAAGGCAACTAGCCAGTGCAGTTAATAATCTCTCCAGAGGGTGGTTAGCAATAGTGAGGAAAATAAATTTTAATTTCTTTTACCTTTTTTCTGTAATTTTTATTATAATGATTAGCATGTATTAATTGTGCAAAATAATGGGTTTCACTGTGATATTTTCATACATGCCTGTAATGTGCTTTGATGGTACTGCCTTCCCTATTTAATTATAGTTAATTTAAATGCAAATAGCCACATGTAGCTAATGGCTACTGTATTTGGATCATGCAGGATCTACACCACAAACTTCATGTGTAGAAATCACAGCTTAAAAGTGAACCTGCCAATCATACTCCTTCAAGAATAATGGAAAACTCAGGTCAGAAAGTCCAATTAAAAGACACTTTACCAGCATCAGCAGTGGCTCCTTCTCATTCTCAAGCCAAGCCCTTAACTATGGTACAGGACAAAGCATGATCTCCCTTCTCACCCAAGGCCAATGTGAATCACTTCTGTCACACAGGGCAGTGTTGTTAGGAAAGTTGGCGGGCTTTGGAGTCTTGATTTGTAAATTGTTTCCTGTTTTGTCCCAGGGAGGTAAATATGGTACAGGGCCAATAGTGGTAAGGAAGGACCCATTGAGATCACAGATAATGGCTGTGAATTCCTACAGCTGCCCAAACTGGCTATTGACGGTGAAATTTCTGTTATTTTAAGATTTCAACTGAAACAGAAATGTGTCTGTGAAGTGCCACAACTCTACTTTCTTCCACATTTTTCTTCTGTTATTGAAGGTTTGCAGTTCCTTTGGCAATTAAGGCACAGACTCCATTAGTGTCACTTATTAGATCAGAGTCAGGTTGTGAACACCCCAAGTAACGCAGCTGAAGACCTCAACCTTTCAAGGATTCAAATACAGAACGTCAATAGCAAATATGTGATCCAAACTGTTTGTCTTGAAGATGCAATAGCAAAGTCCCTTCAGGAAGATCCACAATAATGTGAAATCTGTTATGTGCCTTCTGTTCTAGATTCCAAGTTCTTAAGAGTCAGGGGCCCATCTGTCCACAGCCCAAGATGGTGTGCCCATTAGTAAGACCAGCAGGGACTGAAGGCAGGTTGCTGAAGATGGCTTTCCTAATACCGGCTCTTCATGTGTTCCCTGGTTGACCTTGTATTGACAGAGCTGGGAGGGTCCAAGAGTCAAGAGAACGTACCTCCAAAGAATGCAACCAAGGTATTCAACAGGCTTTGCTCCTTCTTCTCTAATATCTTCAGTTTCAATGTGTTTCTGAAATAGAGAACCCCTGAAGTTTATTTAATGACAGAGTTTTTTGCTTCTTACTTTGGGAACTCCTAGTAATTATATGAGCAATAACTGGAGGGTGACAGGTGTGTGCTAGTTACCTGTACAGTGTCATGTTTTCCAGTTTGCTGGACATTCCACAAGTCTTTTCTATGTGCACTCATGTTGGCCCTTTATGGGTGTTCCTACCAAGGGGAAACCAAACCACTCTCCTCCCAGAGCTCTAAGCCTCATTCTTCAAGTCTACAATGCAAATAATAATGCCACCACCTTAGCCAAACTGTGACCCTTGGACTAAATCTGGCCCACCAAGAGCCAAATCTAACCATGTCAGTTTGTTTACAGATTGTCTATGGCTACTTTTGTGGTACAAAGGCAGAGCCAAATAGTGGTGACAGACACCATCTGGCCTGCAAAGCCATCTGGCCCTTTACAGAGGACTGAACATAGCACATGATAAGTGCTCAATAAATATCAGCTGCAAATATTATCGTTGTCAGGCTCCTCTTCTGTCCTGAGTCTTTGTCCTTTCTGGTTTGTTTCCCTTTTTCATTCTCTTTGAAACAGAAAAACAAAACAAAACAAATAAACAAACAAAAAACCCAAAGTTTGTTTGCTTAGTTTGTTCAGTACTATTCTGAATACAATCTGGTCTCCAAATTGTGAGTGGGAACTTTTCCCATACATACCAAGAAGTTCTCCAGGGAACACCACCTGGGTGTCTTATCATTTAATTATTTAATTCTGACACCATCCACCTGATGGTAATTTTAGATTCCACAGGTTAAGGGCTCAGTCCCTCAAGTAGACAAGCCACTACACATAGTCGGTTGTCACCACTATTCCTGTGTTTCTGATTGACCAACTGTAAATTAGACATCCCATGACTCTCATCTTGGAGGCCACCTTGCAGGATGGTTTGTAGAACTCCAGGAAACACTGTAGCTCTGTTGCTGCAAACTATGAAAGATATAATAAAGGATGCAGAGAAGCAGCCAGACAGAAGAGAGATGCATAACTGTGCAGGTAGGGGTGGGTAGCTGCCATGTCCTCTCCAGATACCTCCACATATTCAGCAATTCAGAAGATTTTAGAATCCAGTTCTTTTTGAGTTTTTCCTGAAGACTACTTTATGTAGGCATCATTACATCAGTGGACATTGGTGATCAACTCAAGCTTCATCTCCTCTCCCATCCCTGGAGGTCTGAGAGTGGAATGCAGAGTTTCAATCCTCTAATCACATGGTCGGTTCCCCTGGCAACTGGCCCCCTCTCCTAAGGCTATCCAGGAGCTCCCAGCCATCAGTCATCTCAGCAGCATACAAAAGATATATCACTTAAAAGATTTCAAGGGTTTTAGAAGCTGTGTAGAGGGAACCAGGGGCAGAGACCCAAAAAGTACTTATTATAATATCACTGTGTATAACATATCCTGGCCCCCACATTGGCCTTTTTATCTCCATCTCCCCCAACTCACCCCACACAAGTATTTTCTGAACATCATTCCCACTATAGGTTTCAGTTCTACCCTTTCTCTTCAGATTAAAGCTACTACTTTCTCACCCTGGATTCTCTGACTCCGTTAGAGATGCTTTCTTCCCTTCATCAAGCAGGGATTAGGGTCCCCTGGCCTCTGCTGGACCCATTTCCCTATCCAGCTACCAACTGTTTTAACTTAAGATTATTGAAGACATGAGCAGGGGTACTTGCTATGTACAGTTATGTAGGTTTGACATGGCTTAGCTATGCTCAGTGGCTTTGCAGGCCACATGGATACCAATCCCAATCCTGCCATCCTGCCTTGTTTTTTTTTTTTTTTTCCTGACTTTTTATTTCATCTCCTCATTAGAAGGGAAAACATTCTGGTTTCTCTGTTATCTTCTTCCTTAGCCATAAGCAGTCACCATGTTTTCTTTCGAAGAGTCCATTTTGCTCTTCCAAGTTGAGAGCCTTCTTAGGAGAAATCATAATGAACCTACATTGTACTTTTATCAGCTAAGCCATGGAGATAAAAACTCTGCCAATGCAGTTGAGCCTTTGTTTATTCAAGAACTCCTTTCTGCAGGACACTGGCCCATGATTGAACTTCAAGTTTGTTCTTTTTAATTTTTTAAAAAATATTTTTATAGTAGATGAACACAATACCTTTATTTTATTTTGATGGGTGCTGAGGATCGAACCCAGTGCCTCACATGTGCTGAGCAAGCGCTCTACCAACCCCAACCCTCAAGTATGTTCTTGATGAGCAATAGGGGTGATAATGGCAAGAGAAGAGACTAGTAGCCAAGAGCATTCTTGGCAGATCATTTTTAAAACCCGACACTGGACCATCTCTATGTTCTATAGAACACTATCTTTCTGTAATTTCAAAATCCCAAGCCATTTCTGCAGCATGACTCAGTTCAACAGGCAAACTGGCTTTTTAATTCTATTGTTGTTTATTATATCTTCCATCAGTCCTTTTTTATCCTGTCTTCCAAATTTTATTCATATTTTTTGACTGAGTGTTTTGGACACAATAAGGAATTTTAAATGATGATGTTTTTCCTTAATAAAACTGAAACATGTTCTTACTGTTTTCAGTCCTATAAAGATGGGGTTTTGACAAGTCAAAAGTTTTTGGACTTTGAAATCATAATTTGCAGCAGTTGTTCCCAACTGGCATGTTGGGGTTTGGGGTGGAGAGAGATGATGGAGAATCACCTGGGAACTTTTGTAAATTCTCTGTGGTGAGACTCTCAAGATTCAGATATACCTACTTCTGATATACCCCTCCCAAACTGAAAATACTTTATAGATAATAAAATGCAAAGACCAGGGAGGAGGTATGTGGGGAGTTTTGGATTATCAAAGGTGCTTTAAAATCTGATTAGTGACTTTGTTTGCTCAAGAGACCCAATACCTGGCTTAAAGGTCACAATTAGAGGTTGAAGAAATCAGAATGGTATTCAAGGCCCATTTTGCCTTTTGTCAAGACACCCTGGAAACATCAACAAAAATCTTCAAATTATGAGATCTAATTTGATTTCATTACATTACAATTTGAGTTCTGTCAAAAACTATCACAGGCCCAGTTAGACAGAAGGAATTTGTAAATGGATTGAAGCCATTTCTGTGGGAGAAAACACTTTCATTGTGGAGAAAATATATATATTTGTAAAGATTCTAACCTTTGTAAAGATACTATACATTAGAGATGGTTTGCTTAGGGAAAGCACACAAACTGGCAAAAATTTAAGTAATTTTTTTCTGAAGGGACTCTGCCCTTTTAAAATGTTCTAAAATCTGACCCCATGCAAAAGAAAAATTGACCTAACCTACCATTAGTCCTGGTTAATTCAAATGCAATTTTAACAAGAAAGTTAATTCAAATGCAATATCCAAGTTGTGGCCAAGTTTCCATCCTTTTAAGTTTCTGAATAAGACAATCCCAGAAGTTTAATCAAGGATTAATTTATGCCCTGCCAAACCCTACAGTGATTTTTACATATTGGATTATATATGCTTTTGTTTTTGCATTTATTTATTTATTTACAAATAGATTACATGTCTCTTAGATGGGGGAATATGTTTTTTTTTAATTTTATTTGCTTGCTACCTATTCCTGAACACCCTCAAATCTCTCAGCACATATTAATAATAGTATGTACCAGTATTTACTATCTGCTAATCACTATGCTAAATGGTTTATACGCATAACTCATTTTATTTCTTACTATCCCCCTTGGATATATGAAAACTGAGGCTTGGAAACGTTAAGTAAGTGGCACCCAGGCTAAATAAATGGCACAAATCTAAAAAGTGGTAGATGGAGGATTTGAATCTATGCCACCCAAACCCAGACCCCATGTGCTGAGTTACCCTGCTGCACTCTTCTGCACTGCTCCTGGTCTGAGCTGATCAAATGCTGCAGGCGCATGATGCCAGCTTGTGCCAGGAGAACACTTTTCCCTAAGAATGTTTGAGAGGCATCAAGGATGAGCTTTTATGATGTGATAATGAACATCTGTAGCCTCCCTGTGCACCCAGCTGAATGTCTGCCTAAGTCTGTTTCACATATTCTATTGGAAAAGGACTCTACAGTATATTTATGAAATAGACTTCTTTCCCTTCACAATCACCCACAGAGGCAAATCATGTGCAATCTTCCTTTTATAGACAAATAAAAAAAGATAGAGAAAAAAAAGAAAGCAGGTCTTCCAAGTTTAAGAAGAAACTCAAATTTAGGAAATCTATGTTTGCCTCGACAGTTCTTGAAATTCTCAGCAGGCTCTTCATTCAGCCCCTGCCCAAATACTACCAAGCACGTAATGGTGAAAGCATATGAGACCTCAAACAAACAAATAAATAAACAAAAAAGGAATCCACAACAAAAACAAGATAAAACCATGAGAAAAAAATCAAGACAAAACTATGCAGGAAAAATTAATTATAAGTCATTCATTAGTACATTGGCAAAATTTTTAAAATGTATTTGTCATTTGTGGAGCAATTCTGCTTCATATTCTTGGAATTCTGACTCCACAATGATAGCTCTTCATGCTAATACAGTTTCTGATATAATAATTTTAAATACTGTTGTAAAAAGCATGCCACTTTTCTTTCAAGGAGACACTGTAAATCTGTTTTCCGTAGACCCCTTAAATATATTAGGCAATTTTTGTAAGATGCCCATTGCACCCAATTAAACAGTGGCACTTACATCACTTTCTTTCCAATATATTCTTTTGCATCTCATTTAGACTTATTACTCAGACAGCCCAACTATTGCCTGATTTAGAAGGCCTGTGTTGGAATGTGTAATGTGGAAATAGTCCTAGAACAGGAATGATATATATAGAATACTTTAAGCAGTGTTAGGTATATTTAGTATTTCCACTTATTGCTGTTTCAGATGATTTATAGTCTGGGCTATGTTATGTTTCTCAGAAATTATTCCGGTTACATTTCAAATTTTAATTTGGAAAACATTTTAGGAAGTACAAAACAAACAGAGGTGGATCCAAGTTTTCTTGGATTGCTGAAACAGCAACAACAAAGACACTGATACAAATTCTAGGCACAGAGTGGGCTGTAGCATCATCTCTACCTCTTCATAATTTTTTACTATCTCTGGCAGTGAGAGGAAGAAGACAACTTGCTGAATTTCAAATGTCCTTCAGTAACTGGAACACTGCATTCTAATGCATTTTGATGAGTCAGATTAGTTATTTGTCACATATGTTGGTAATGCAAGGAAATGTATTCAGTCCAGAAAATTAATCCAGGCAGCCAGCCATGAGCAGATGAATGAAAGTGACCAAAATCAGATCAGAACAGAAAGCTGAGAAGACCATACTTTTAAGGCCATTCAGTAGCCAAATCCTTTTAATATTGAGTAAGAGGTTTAAAGGTTGAAATCTCTGCCTTTTCGTGAAAGAAGAAATTCTTCCCTTGCTTGGGAAGAAAAAAAAAACAGATATTGGAAAGAGGATGCTTTTTATAATTTTCTCATTCCCTGAAAATTTATGTCTTACTTCTAGGACACACGTGGATCCCACTAACATGTGGATAGGGAGGCTTCATTATTGATAAGTTGTTTATTAGAGATTGGGAATGTATGTGGGTACCCTGACACAGCGGGCTGGGGACCCTTTGCCATGGAAAAGAACAAGAAAGTGAAAAGTCAGGGCTAAATTTTGCTCTGTCGTTGGTCAAATTCTTCCCAGAGCTGAAAACAACATTGTCCTTCCCAGGCTGTTGAAATGAGATAATGTCACATCCTGTATGAGATCACTGGGTCATAAGCTTATCCCCAATGCGATTTTCTTGGCATGTAGGAACATTACTGGGTAAAGGGGGAAAGGATGAGCGTGGATGGAACAAAACCATTCGTTTAATTAAGCTTATAGCCTTGTCACCTTCTGCTCTGATCCCATCAGATCTCAGCAGCTAAGCGAGGTCAGGCTGGGGCTGTCAGTGAATTACTCTCTAGTGGTGGCATGTCCTATTCAGCCAAAGCTTTCTACCTCCCAGACAGGTGTGTGCTGCTTCATGGGCTTGTAGGAAAGGGACATCAGTCAGACGACAATCCTAATGTGGTTTGGCTTTTCCTAAAAGTTGCTACAATCTATATGAAGGTGATGTATTTCAGTGCCAATATACTACATCCCAAGTAACAGATCCATGGGGACAAAGCTTCTTTCACAAAGTCAAATAGGACCTGAAGTCAACTGAGAGACATCCTGGCCTTCTCAGATATTGGCAGGGTGGAAACGACAGCTGAGGCTCAGTATTTAGTGTCATCTCTAGTAAGTCAATCCCCAGTCCTGCCTGAGGAAATGGTTTCCCTCCCAGGGCTTCCATGGCTTGTTTTACTTACTTGGAGGTGATAGAATCTTGCTGAGACTGTGGCTATTGCAAATCCTATTAAACGGTTATGTTGTTGCCAGGATATTTTGTTGTGTCTGCTTGCCAGAGCCACCTTCTCTTCAGACAAGGAGCCTTCTACCACAACTGACTGTGGATTTGGCACTGAACCTCAGCAGGGAACCTTCTTGTCTGGAGGACCTTGCTGCTTATCATGCACCAATTGCTACTGCATGTCCTGATCACCTTCCCCACGTCTATTTCACTGTGTCCTTTAATCCTTTACCTCTCCAGGTTTCTGGAGTGAATTCTCCAGTTAACATGTTGACTTTATGGACTGACCTTTTGTTCAGTAACTACCCTTGCCCTTGACCCTCACTCATCCTTGGGAGAGGAGTGAGCAAGGAGGAGAGTCCATGTAGAAGGGAGTATGACTTCTACTTTAATTCAGAGTAGTCCTTCAGCATTCAATACACAGACCAATAAGGCAAGGGAAGACACCTGCCAATTTAACCTTTCACTTTATGTCTCCTGAGCCATTTTGATCTTGCTTTTGTTGGTCTCATGTTTCTCTCCTGGTTTAGCTACAGCCCTTTGGATACAGTTGCCAGAACCAAGAGAGAGGAACTTAGAGAGGGTTGTCTGCCAGGAGCCAGGACTACAGGATGGGAATTCCAAATCTCTAAACCATGGCCTGACAGTCGTGATGCACTCTTATTCTGAAGTTTACTTCAAAAATCTGGAAAAGCAAAGGATTAAATGAGATGATGATGATGATAAAACCAGATGTATAGAATAAATATCTGATCTCCCTCCCTTCTTAGTCTCTGACCTCCTGCTAAGACTCCCACCAGCCAAACCTAATCAGCAACAGAAGGGCAGGGAACCCACTCATGCTCTCTCCATAGATCAGCTCCGGTCCTGGAGCAGGGTGGAGAAAAGGACCAGGAGCAGATAGGGAATTTCAGTGGGATCTACACACTGTTGACAGTTTAGTTAGTTCGTTTCATGTTTGGATCTCCTCAGGGATCCAAAGGGCTACTTTGAAAGCAAACACGATCCAAAACAGGAGGACAATTTTTATGACTCCAAATAAGTATATAGGTTTAACACATGCTCCATCAGAAGCCCAGTGGAATTGAGTCAGAGAGAGAGGGGTGTACTCTATAAAGTTAGCCTTTGTTCTTCAGAAGTATTTCTTTCTAATGCAAGTTTGCCTACAAAGCTACTTTTACATTCTAAAATGTCCCCAATGTATGACCAATAGCTCCAGATGTGTTAATAGCGCTAAAGCAGCTCACAACAGGCTACTTGAGTTATTGAATAAAAGAACTCAACAGGCAGCTAAGCCTTCCGACCACACACTTTCACCTTTACACATTCTGAATCAGCTTTCAATAGGCATTAAATTCTTCCCTTGTTTTCATTCTCTGCTGTAGTAGCTGTACTGGGGACATTTGAATAGCTAGGCTGCAACTAAGTACCCTTAAATATAGGTCTTTGAGAAATCTCTGTGTGGACACGAGTTTCATACATAAGTCATGGGCAAGATAGTGGGGGAGTTCGAATGTTAAAATATTGAAATAAAAGGCAGGAGGCTTGAGCCCTACTCCTAGTCTATTATTCTGGAACAGTCCTGCAGGGTAACCTTGGACAAACATCTTTACCTTTCCAAGACTCCGATTTTGCTACTCCAAAATGGAAACTAGAGTCATGTTCTACACAGGAGACATCGATGGGTGCATCTATAAACCTGGGCTTTGTTGAAAGCATGTAATCTTTTGGGGATGGGGGAAGGTGAGTTTGTTGTAGTGTTTGCTTCTGGGTGGTTGCTTTCCGAGGACTCCTGGTTTCGCAGTGCAAGAGACAACAGAGCATGAAAATAAAACTTCCTTTAAATGGTGCCTGTGTTTCTGGCACCACGGCAATCCACCAAGCCATGTTGCCTGGCTTGGTTTATTAATGTTCACACCTGAACAGTTTACAGGACTGCACATCCTACTGCAGTTTAGCATCCTCCCCTGAGTGCTTCTCAGTGAGTTATTTACTTGGTGTGACAGGAAAGGGATTAAAAATGTACTGTGTTAAAAAAAAATCATCTCCTCATCTTCTGCATATCCACATGATGCACCAGAAGGAGCAAAAGAGTGATCGTTCTGGGACAGTATCCAAAAACAAGTTCCACTGAAGATGCTTTGCTCTTCCTTGAAGCCTCAGGCTGCTCAAACCCATTTTCTATCCTTCTCAATATTTGTCCGGATAGTGCTTTAATAGAAGCTTGTTTTTCACAATCTACTCATGTGCCAGAAGCATTCAGGGAATTCCTAGATTGTTCTAAATTTTTCCCAATTTAACCTCTTCTGTGAAGAAGACCTGAAAGCATCCACGTGTCTGTTTTAGAACCATTCATATGACTTATTCTGCATTTGGTGGTTTTTATTTTAACTGGGATCAAGGGTTATAATGACAGATCTGGGATGCCACTTCACTAGCAGCAAAAGGAGAGAGAGAGAATGGGGGAAGAAGGTTTATTTGTGTTAAATGAATTCCAACATACCTGCATCGATGGAGAATAATTAAATAAGCACTCATTCA